TAGTAGGCCTCGATGCGATCGCTGAAGTCCATGCCGCACTTGTCGGCGAACGACAGGTACGCGAGCGCGAAGACGAAGACGACGAGGATGTAGACGAGGCAGAGCAGGCCCATGAGGCGCAGGAAGGGCAGGTGGACGATCGTGTTGAACCAGTCGTCGAGGTACATGTTGAGCCAGTCGCCGCCGACGCGCTTGATGTTCCACCGGCCCATCGACTGGTGGTCGTAGCTGTCCCGCAGCAGGATGCGCGACCGCCGCTGGTCGTTCTCCGAGAAGCGCTGCTGCTGCTGCCGCTCCCGCGCGCGGATCTCCTCGTACCTGCGACGCGGGAGAAGGAATCGACGGGAGAAGGATTCGGGTCGTCGCGCGCGGGCCAACGCGCACGCTCCCGTCGTTGCGCAGGAAGCCGCCGCAGCAGCGGTTCAGGAGCGCGCCGCCGCGCCGCGCGCAGGCCCACATGGCCTCGAGGTTCGTCTCCACGCGCCGCACGCCTGAGGATTTCACGTGAGCAAGGGCGAGCGGTTTCCAGGCGCACTGGTGCCAAAGTCGCTGTGCGGCGACCCGTAGCTGTTCTGGCTGTTTTGCGGCCGCAGCCGGATGTTCGGCGACGTGAGCAGCCCTGGCGGCTCCTCTTCGGCCTCGATGTTGATCGATGCGAGACGGTCGACCATTGTTGTAGCGACGATGCTTGGTGTTTTGAATGTGCATCTCTGTAACTTGACGTTCAACTTGACGCCGTGTGCTCGTCTGGCCTCAGTGGCGTCCGGCCGGTGCGGTCGCGGGCGGCGCGCTGGTGGTGGCTGGCCGGCGCCGGCAATACACGCACGACGAGACAGCTCCAGCCCGGCGCCGCGCGGACGTCGATCAGTGCCGGGGTCGGACGTAACGGCTTACCTAACATGTTACTTACGACTTACATTCGGCCAAAACGACTTACCTGACGGGTTACTTTCGGACTCCACGACTTACCCGGCGGCCTACCTCGGCCCGAGGCCGCGCGGGGCGGGCGCCGCTTTCGCGGAGCGCGCGCGCGGCGGGGCAATCCGACGGCGTCGGCGCCGTGGATGTCCAGAAGGCCAACGACGAGAGTGGCAAGATCCTCCACTCGTGCGCCACGCGCTGGCTCGGGCGCAGCGACGCGCTGGCGAGCGTCGTCAAGTCCCTCGTAGCCCGCGGGTTTTGGCGAGTGCCCAGTCATCCGTCCGTTTTGGCGAGCTCAACGACTTACCCCGGGGCCCGACGACTTACCCTACGACTTACAATCGGCGCCAACGACTTAAAAACGGGTTACTTTTTTCGACACGGCACCTATTTCGTGCTGGCCGGGGGTGGAGCTGAAGTGCGGACAGTGTCCGCACTTCAGGATGAGGCGCGGACAGGCCAAGTCTTGCGATGTGTGCGCCCCCTGGAGGCCCACCGGCGGTCACACCGTGTCCTAGGGGTTCATATGGACGCCGCTGACCCGCGGCGCGCTGCAATTCGGTGCCGGCGGCGCGAGCCGCAACGGTTTCGGACCGAGCGCGACGCCGTGGCGCCGGGGCCAGAGCGGCGCCCGCCGACGCCGTGGACCGTACCCGCGCCCCACACACGCCCACCGTATGTTAATCGACGCGCTCCGCCGAAAGATCGTTGGAAATCGCTGGGAATCCGGCCGCGGCGCGCCGCGAACTCGCTCCGCCGTAGCGCGACACCGTGGCGCCGAGGGCCAGGGCGGCGCCCGCCGACGCCGTGGACCGTACCGGCGGCCCAGACACGCCCACCGTATGTTGTTCGACGCGCTCCAACAACAAATTGTTGGAAATCGCTGGGAATCCGGCTGCGGCGCGCCGCGAACTCGCTCCGCCGTTGCGCGAGGACGCGCCGCTCGGCCGTCCGCGCGCAATTTTGCGTCGACCGATCACCATCGCTGTGTTCCGCCGGACGCATCGGCATCGTGGAGCTCGTCGAGGGCGACCCTCGCGGTTTTGGACGACCGCGCGCCGCGCGACACTCGCCGAGATCGTCGCGGCCGAGAACGAGCGGACGGCCACCGCGGCCCTGATGCGGCCGCGTCCGCGCCTCGCTCGGGGCCTCTGTCGGTCGCGCGTCCATCGCCAGTTACGAACGTCGCCGCGGGTTGCTGGGCAGCTGCAAAGAGAGCCTTTGGGCACGCCCAGGGTCCCAAAACGGCTGTATTTTCACCTAAATTCAATCTGGCAGTGCCAATATGGCTCGTTTGAGTGGCAGCTTAGCCCAGCTGGCTTTTCTGCCAGCCCCATTGTATTTCTCCTAAGTACGCCTCTGTGGCCTCGCGGCTCCTCCTGGGCTTGCTGGCCGCAGGCCAGCTACTTTTCTGGGCCAAACAGGCCAATTTCCGTCCACTTGGCCTTTCGTATCTCCCACTAGCCTGAGCTAAAGGAAGCAAGTAAGATCCCCCTCGAGGGGAGGTTGAGCTCAGTTTCAATTAAAGATGCCAGAATGAAGGCCGACGGACCGCGCTTGGATGGCGCAGCCACCTCAGCGCCAACTGAGTCGCCACGCAATCGCCTGGACGTCCTGTTTTCACCGGCGCGTCGTGCGTGAAGATGCGGTCCATGCAGCCACTGAGATCGTTGTCCATCTCTGCGTATTCGCTGAGATATGGGGCTACAAAGGCTGCCATGCACCACTTCGCGTGCCGCGTTCGGCATGTTCCAGTCCACGCGGGGCAGAAGTGAGACCACTTCGCCATAGGAAATCGGGGTCTGCGGTTCCGTAGAACCACTCCACGACACCCAACGCGGCGCAGGAGCCGAGCACGGGCGTGCACGCAGCCCGCTAAATTGTAATCCGCCGATCCCGAACCAGTCACAAACTACCAATATTAGGGGGGGTCAACGAACCCCGGCGCTCTCCGGGCTCCGCTCCGCCTCCGCTGGCGCCTGGTTTTGGGAGGCGTCGCTGGGGCGACTTCCGGGATTTTGGGGGACGCAAAAATTAGGGGAACTGCGTCCTGCGGCGCCGTACGGCGAATGCGCCGGTTTAGGGCTCCCCCAAAACTCGCCCCGGCCGGAATGGGTCACAGTGCCCTGCACTTGACGGACCAGGGAGAGCGTTTTGTGAGAGCTGGGCTGCCCCGTGTCGCCGCCCGTCGGCCCGGCTGTGCGCCTGCGGGCGTTTGGATTCGGTTCCCCGCGCCTTGCGCCGGCCCGAGTGGCCGCAGCAACCGCAGCGCTGCTCGTCGGCGCCTAAAGCTCGCTCTGCAAGAGAGAGACTTTGCTGGGTCCTGATCCAAACCAGGTCACCAGCATGCTGCTATTCGCCGCGTCGACGTCTCGACAGCTTCGCGCGGTCTCAGAAGGTCCACGGAGGAAGGGCAAGGGCGCCAAGGACTACTACACGTGGCTCGAGGCGAAGTACTCCAAGGCCTTCTACGTCGTCGAGTCCCGCGCCTCCGGCGGGCGCCAGGACCTCGAGTTCGAGGCGTCGGTCGCCGTCTACGTGAACCGCCCCTACTACGCCAAGTTCCTGGATGTCATCCTCCCGGACCCGCAGCACAGGACCATCCTCGAAACGTCCGCGCATCCCCGACGCGCGTTCCGCGGAAAAAAACGAGCTCTTCTAGTACCATAACTTCGCTCGATCCGGACGGATCAGGACGAACCGAAAGTCGCTTTCGAGTTCCTACGCGGGCTCCTCGGGATGGGCGCAGCCTCGGAGCTCGGCTCGACGACGGCAAAATCCCGGGTTTTCAGTGTCGCCCCCCTACCAATATACGCACAAAAGCTCTCCTAATTGACCTATAGTGTACCGTGGGGGCGACGCTGCTTCGCCAGCGAATGAACGTAGACCAGGCCGTGGTAAACGAAGCAGTGAAACCTCGCCGTGGGACGTTTAGGTACTGCTGGGGACTCATATGAGTGCTTTTCTAGCAGTTTTGACCCCGTAGTGTCGCTCTCCAGCGCCCCTCGAGGCGACTCGGCGGCCCGGGGCGGCCGTGACCACCGCCCAGGGGCGCACAAGACTTCGCCGCAGCCGATGACGCTCGAACGTCGACGCGCGGCGCCGCGACGCGCCCTGGGCCCGCAGCAGCTGAGATCGTTCGCACGCGGCCCCGCGCGGATCCCGGCCGCCCCTCGACCAGGAAGCCCACGACGTCGCCCGCGTGACCGGTGCGTAGCGCGTTGCAGATCCAGTGCGTCGCCGGGGGCCTCCTGACCCGCGGG